CCTCAAGCACCTCAGCAGCCTCCCCCCTCACCTCAGCGACAGCCGCAGCAGACTCAGCAGCCACAGCAGTAGCAGCAGCAGGGGGCAATGGGCTTTGGGGTTGCTGATTCTGCTGGTGCTGGCTCTAGGGTTGCTGATTCTGGGGGTGCTGCCTCTTGGGGTGCTGGTTCTGGGGGTGCTGACTCTGGAGGTGCTGGTTCAGTGGGTATTGCGTCTGGGGTTGCTAGGGTGCTGTTTTGGAGAGTGCTGATAGTAGGCGAGGTGGAGCTGGAGGTCCTGGAGAGGATAGGGAACAGCAGCCACAGTCTGCCCTCCGTCTCCTTTTTCTTTCCTCACGTTCCCCAGACTGCCCGCACGTCCCTCCTACTGTGCCTGACCCTGTTTATGGCCCGCTGTTCCCTCCCCCAGACTCCTCTCCGGCTCGTTTCCCCTGCACTCTCCTCTGTTCCTTGTCTTGTCCCCCTTTCCCCCCGTCTCCAGTCTCCCGTTCTTTCCCATTGGGTCCGTCGTCCCCGTGGTGGTCGTCCTGTCTCTCCTCGTCCTAGTGTACACCCTATGGTCCGTTCTTGTGCTCTTTTGATCCCCGTCCTTCCGTTACCTCCCTAGTCGTCACTCTCGTTTCGCCAACGCTGCTTGTGCCAAGCACAAGAGCGGGCGGGAGAGTTGCTTCTGCCTTCTTGCAGACCATTTATTGTGCCTCCTTCCCCTCCTCATTGCCCCCCCTGTTTCTTGGGCCAATCGCATGCCTGGTGAAGACGTCTGACACCAGCACTGCTTGCGCCAAGTACAAGAGTGGGCGGGCCATCTGTGTATGCGCCACGGATTTCGTGATGCTTCCCAACGGCACCTGCGCTCATGAGTCCGTGCTCTGATGTTATTGGAACAATAGGGCTCCCATGCTCGTGGGCACCTATACTCGTCCCTGCCTCCCTGCGCTCGTCCCTTCCTCCCAGCGCTCATCCCTCCCTCCACAGAGGGCAAATGCCTTGGCCCATGACATCTCTCTCCTCCCCTCCTGCATTTATTGCCTTGCAGCTAATTGCACGGAGAAGGCATGTGGGGCGAGTGCGATGAGACATGCACCGTATCCGTGCACTCCCTTCCAGTCACTCTTCGCCATACCCAGTCACCCCTGTTGTAATATATTATTATATACAACATGCATGACTAGAATAGGAGGTGTGGACATTTAAGTTGTTGGGGGGTTGTTGGCAAAAATCACTCCCACAATTTGGTTGGTCAAGATTGGGTTTGGCCTTGGTCCTTTGGTTGGCACTTTCCAACCGAATGGTCCCAAGGCTCCACCAATCAGCAACCACCACACTTTGGGGTTGCTTCCCCTCCAAGCTACCTCTCCCATCGGCCACTATTGTAGCCAATAGGAGTGCCTTCCGTTCCAACCTTTCCTTGCTCCTTGGTTGTACTATAGAGCCTCTTGGCTCCCTTTCTAATCAACACTTTTCTCTCTGATGTTACTTCTCTCATGGTATTCAGAGCCAATGGCTCACGCCACCCGGTCGATCCTCACTAGCACGGCCTAGTCCTTCCTCCCCTCCTTGCTCTCCAGCCCTAACCCGCCCTCAGGCTACCCGGCTGTCCCTTCCGGCATCCCTTTCTCTCCCGCTTCCGCCTCGCGCTCCTTGCGCCGCGTGTCTCCTCGTGCGCTCCTCCTGGCGAGCCCCTCCCGTTGTGCTGCTCCCATCGCGCGCTGCTCCCGTCGCACTGTTCCCGTCGCGCGCTCCTCCCGGCGCGCTCCTCCAGTCGCGCGCTGCTCCCGTCGCGCGCTGCTTCCGTCGCGCTGTTCCCGTCGCGCGCTCCTCCCGTCACGCGCTCCTCCCGTCGCGCGCTGCTCCCGTCGCGCTGTTCCCGTCGCGCTGTTCCCGTCACGCGCTCCTCCCGTCGCACTGCTCCCGTAGCGCGCTGCTCCCATCGTGCCCTTCCACCGGCGCGCTCCTCCCGTCGCGCTCCTAAAGTCGCGCGCTCCTCTCGTCGCGCACTGCTCCTGTCGCACTGCTCCCGTTGCGCTGCCCCTGTCGCGCGCTGCTCCTGTCGCGTTCCTCTGCAGTCTCCCCCGGTCGTGTCGCCCCACGCCGCGTCTGCCCTTGCGCTAACCGGCTGCGCTAACCGCCGCGTCCCGTGACTTAAGAGCTGCACTCCGCGTACCTGTTCCTTTCTCCTCCTCCCTCCTCCTCCTCTTCCCCCCCCCTCCTTCTCCTCCTCCCTCCTCCTCTTCCCCCCCCTCCTCCTCCTCCTCCCTCCTTGCCCCCCTCCCTTCCCCCGCTTCCTTCCCTCCAGCATGGCGTCCTCGAATTCTTCCGTGGATCTTGCCACCGTGGATGCCCTTGAGCTGCTGCTGGACAACACTGCTGCAAACTGGCATTCCTATGCCCACTCCATCGCCGTCTTCCTCTCCTCCGTGACAGTCAGCGGCTTCAATCTCAAAGCTGTTGTTTTCATGGAGGAGCGCGGCCTTCAGCCTGTTGCGCCCGTTGCTCCCGAGGGCCCTGCACCCGACCATCCTGGTGATGCTCCCGAGTCCCATGGCGATCCGCCCACCTTCGCAAGGGATGTCCCCGCTTGTTCCCATTCATCTCCTCACCACCAACCTCTCACCCCCCCTTTCCTTTTTCAGAATTCGCCTGCGCGGCATTGGATTGCTACCTTGAGGGCACCTGCGGGCTCAACGATGGCCACCGCAACAACTCCATGCACTACCACTGGAGTGAGCAAGCGCTCTTAAGTAAGTGCTCTTAAGTGAGTGGTCTTTAGTAAGCACTCTTTAGTAAGAACGGGTTCAGTAAAGATGCACAGCCACTGGAGTAAGCATGCAGGGGCTCTTGACCCAAGATTTCACACATGACCCGTTTCATTTTTTTTCCTTTTTCACTTCACAAACCCACTTCCAGCCCTCGTTTCTGTCCTCACAACACTATCTCTGCACACTGCTCTTCTCCCTCCCTCCCTCCCACCCAAGTGTGGCAGCTGCCCCTTTAGAGGCTCCTGTGCAAATTCGCAGACTGTAACAAGGCAGCCAGAGGCCCCTATATTCTTTCCTCTATCTCACCATACTGGCGTCCCTCCCTCCCTCCCCCCATCTGTCAGAGAGCAAGTGTGGCAGCTGCCCCTCTGGCGGATCCTGTAGGAGATACTACTTCGTTGGTGGGCTCCAGCAATGCCCTACTAAATGTGCAACTAGGGCGATGGCGTGACCCCCACTGGCTGCAAGAAGGGTGAGTGGTGCGCGCATGCATGGGACGGTGCGCACATGGAGTCAAATATAGCCGTGGCATGACACCCACTGGCTGCAAGAAGGTGAGGCAACAGAAGCACTCAGTCCCCGCATGGACTTAAACTGTCAGAAGCACTCTCTTTGCTCTCTTCTCTCTCTGCCCTCTTCCCCTTCTGCCCTTTTCTCCCTCTGCTCTTCTATTCGTTTCTGATTCCAAACGTATCCCCTGCCCCCTCTGCTCCGTCCTCTCTGCTCTGCCCCCTATGCTCCGCCCCCTCTGCTCTGCCCCCTCTCCCCTGCTCCCTCTGCTCTGCCCCCTCTGCCCTGCCCCCTCTCCCCTCCCCCCTCTGCTCTGCCCCTTCTGCCCTGCCCCCTCTCCCCTGCCCCCTCTCCCCTGCCCTCTCTGCACTCCCCCCTCTGCTCTGCCCCCTCTGCCCTGCCCCCTCTCCCCTGCCCCCTCTCCCCTGCCCTCTCTGCACTGCCCCCTCTGCTCTGCCCCCTCTGCCCTGTCAGGAGCGCGCACCAGTGTCTCAGCCACCAGTCACACGGTCATCTGGACTCACAGCGACCCCGGCCGGGAGTCCCCGCCGCACACCCTCCCCCTCCTGCTCAATATCCTCCACACTCTCCTGTGCTCCCCCCTCGGCCCTGCCCCCTCTGCCCTGCCAGGTGCTCGAACCTCAGTGTCAGCCGCGAGCTTCACATTCATCCGCAATCGCAAGGCCCCTGACTGGGATGCCCAGCCATACACCATCCGCCTCCTGCTCAACACCTGCATGGCACTGCCCAAGGGAGTTGCCAGGAACTTCAGCACGTTCTATGAGAACGATGTGGTGCCTGGGGGTACTGTGTGCTCCAGCATGCTCTCCTATGAGGGGGATAACTGCATGGGGGCGGTCAGCCACACGCGCCGCCCGGCCCTTGAGACCTGGAACTTCTGCTGGGGGCAGTGAGTCCAGGTGAAGGGAGTGAGTGGAGGGAAGGGAGTGAGTGGAGGGAAGGGAGTGAGTGAAACAATGAATGAATGCTTTCCCTCCACTCACTCCCTTCCTCTTCCCTCTTCCTCTTCCTCTTCCCTGCACGCACGATGCTTTCCCATGGCACATCCATCGCCGCATGCCTTTTGAGTCAACTCAAAAGTCTTCCCGTAACACATCCATCGCGGCATGGCCAAGCCTAGGCGCTCCCACAGTGTCCCTGTGCCTGCTTCGTGAACCACCAAGGATGCTATGCCGCGCCCTGTGCTGCCCCAACCTTCAGGGGCAGGGATCCCCCCGTGGTCCGCTCCATTCTCTGCATTGCATGGCTTGTGCTGGTCTGCTCAATGCTTAACCACCCACACCTACTCCCCTCTCATCCCCCCCCCCAGATTCCTCCCCCTTCTCCTTCCCCCTCCCCCCCCTTCCCCCCCCCCCTTCTCCTGGTGCTGCCCTAGCCACCAGGGATAGGGATTCTCCTTCCACGATCTGCCCCATTCTCACACCTCCCCCCTCTCGCCCTCCTTCCCCACACCCCCCAACTCCACCACCCCAACCACCAGGGACCGGGGTCCTCCCCGCACGGCCCATTCCATTCTCTGCACAGCATAGCCTGTATTGTCTACCGTCCGTTCCATTCCACCCCCAGCAACTCCCCTCCCCTCCACCCCCAACCCCCCAATTCCTCCCCCTTCTCCCTTGTGCTCCCCCCGTGCTGCCCCAACCACCAGGGACCGGAATCCCCCCCTCATTATCGGAAGCTGAAGAGCACAGTATGTTACATTGGGCCATGGTGTAGAAAACAGCCACTACAAGGGTGCTTTTCACAGGGAGGTTCCATCACTGTCGCATTTGAGTCAATAATAAAAATGACGACAATCACGTTGAGGTCACACTTCTTCCCCTAAGACCTTCGCACCTAGCTGCCCAGTGCCAAGACTTTTGAGTCAACTCAAAAGTTACCTTCGCACCTTGCTGCCTAGTGCAACGAGATAAATGAGCCTGCCTGAGTCTGCTCTGCTCCCTTGCTGCCCACATGGCAGGGCGGGGAATTGAGGTTCTCGATCGCTGCCTCTTCCTCTTCCCCTTGGTCCTTGCTGCTCTTTGCAAGAAGAGAATCGGCCTGGCGTTGTCCCCCACCCCCCTAGCGCTCGGAATATTGCTCCGGAGAGAGGCGTTAAGTCTGCTCTTTCTGCTTACACAGTGGGCCGGGGAAACGAGGACCTGGCTCTCTGCGTCTTCCTCTTGCCTTTATTCTTTGCTGCTTTGTGCAAGAAGAGGATGGGCCTGGCGTCGCCATCTTCACTGCCGCTGGGCAGTTTACTCTGCAGGATTAAGGGCGCATAAAGCAGTTAGGGTGGCAGAGGGACAGAGGTTGCGCCTGGAATAACCACTTCCACTGGAATAACCACTTCCACTGGAGAACCACTTCCACTGGAGAACCACTTAAGGGCTCGGTCTGTCCTACCAAGAGGGGCAGCGAGCAGTAGCGGCAGCAGAGGAAAGATAATGAGCTTGGGATAACCTCACTCGGTCTGGCATTACCCTCTCTGTTTCTCGGACGATTTGGGTGCAATGACAATGATGTGCTCTATTTTTTGGAATTCTCAATCAAAATCAGAGTTCTAAAAAACAGAACACACCCTCTCTCTTCCTCAGACGATTGGGGTGTAAGGGCAAGGGGAGAAATGAGCAAAAGGAGGCACCAGCAGCAAACAGTAAGGAGGGCAACTTCGTGAGGTGAAAGGAGTTCTAACAGCGCAACACGAATGCTTGACGACTGACATGCCCACATGAGGAGCTCTCCAGCTGCCGAATTCAGACTCAAGTGAATCCGGTATGTCGGGCTGAAATGGCACGCACCTCGTTGCTGCCCGTAGGGACCTTCACGCAGCGTGCTTCGAATGAGGATGGCTCCGGTGGTGGTGGTGAATGGAGCACAGCAGGAGAAGGAAGTGGAGTGGGGTTGAGTGAAGGAGGGAGGGAGAGGAGAGGGTCGGATTGCCTGCAGTAGGCGGGTAGGGAGAGGTGCAGCAGGTGCAGCAGGCGGGGGAGCACGGAGTCGATGCGCGCTCGGATGGCGATGCGCGCATGGCGGTCGAGAGACGTGCGCTGGAGGTTGATGATGACCAGATGGGCGGCCAGGCGAGGGAGCTTGCTGGCTGGAGGGACCTGGGTGGGGTGAGGGAGAGAGGGAGAAGAAAGGATGCAAGCAACATGAACACGTGTTGAGAGGGGTGCGCTGGAGGTTGACTGGCACGAGGTGGGTGGCCAGGCGAGGGAGCTTGCTGGTTGGAGGGACCTGGAAGGGGAAGGAAGGTCAGCAGCAGGAAGGAAAGCAGGCGGGCGAGAACGGAGTCGATGCGCGCCCGGAAGGTGATGCGCGCATGGCGGTCGAGAGGGGTGCATTGCTGGCTGGAGGGACCTGGTTGGTCGAGAGTGGAGGTTGACTGGCCCGAGGTGGGCCGCCAGGCGAGGGAGCTTGCTGGCTGGGGGGACCTGGTTGGGGTGTGTAGGGGAGAGGGGGAGAGAGAGAGAGAGAGAGAGAGAGAGAGAGAGAGAGAGAGAGAGAGAGAGAGAGAGAGAGAGAGAGAGAGAGAGAGAGAGAGAGAGAGAGAGAGAATGAAGAAGAGGGAAGATAGAGGAGAGGAGACGGGGTAGGAAGAGGGCAGATGGGGGATAGCCACAAGCAGGGGCCTCGCTGGCTGGAAGAGCCCGGTTGGGGTGTGAGCGAGGAGGAAAGGCAACAGGAGGTTTGGGTGGCCCTAGCTGTGACAGCACGGGGAGCTTGCTGGCTGGAGGGACCTGACTTGCCATCCCTTTGAGAATGCCAAACCGGAAACTCCGAGCGCCGAGCAAGACAAGTCAAACAGACCTTGAGGGAGGAAGCAAGGCAGAGAGCCACATGTGCTCCCAGGCTCGCCTCTCTCGCTTTGCTCATCGGCGATCCTCCTCTCCCCAAAATGCAGGAATGCATTCACACACGTAACCTGCCTTCACACACATGCCCTGCCCTCACACACATGCCCTGCCAAGAGATCACAAGCTACCTTGAAGGATGAGCCCAGGCAGAGAGCCACGTGCGCTCCTGAGCTGGCCTCTGTCGCCCTCCTCAGCTCCTCCTCGTCTATCCTCTCCCCGAAATGCACAATCGAATCCACCAACTCGCCTCCACACACGCTTCTGTTGCCCTCACACACTCCCCTGTTTTCACCCTTGACACGCCCCACAGCCACTGTGCTGCCCTCATACTTCATCTCCTTTCCTTCCTCCTCCTCGTCGTCTATCCTCTCCCCGAAATGCACGATCGAATCCACGAACTCCCCTCCACACATCCGCCTATCCTCTTGCTTCCCGTCCCTCCCCTGCTCCTCTTCCCACACTTCCCTGCCCTCACACACTCTCATCACCGCATGCTTCTCCTCCTTTCCTCCTCTCCCACCACTCTCTCCACTATAGCACATCTTCGCATAACCCTGGTTAACCCCTCTGTCCTCTTTCTCCTCTTTATCCTCCCCATCTTCCCCTCTTCCAAGCACCCCTCCTCCACACTCACGCTCTTTCCTTCCCTCACTCTCCACCTCCCTGACTTCCTCTTTCACTCTGCCTCCTCCGGTAGGCATTCGACCTTCCACCACTGTAGGACCGCTTGGTTTCAGAACAACTGGCACTCTCTGCTGCTTCCTATCCTCGTCGTCCATCTCTCTTCCCTCCTCTTCCTGCTTGCACTCTTTCCTAGCTGCTAGTTCCACACCAAGAGAGGCCGACTTCGAAGCGTCACCAACAGCAGCACCATCAGCAGCAGCATCACGAGCAGCAGCAAGAGCAGTTGCATTACCAGCAGCGCCACCACCAACCACAGCAGTGCAAGCCCGACCGGTTTTATGGCGGTGGTAGGACGACCCTCTAGCAGCGGTGACATCAAAGGGGCGCAGGTACCGAGCCCCACACTCCCGGCACCTCTCCCGATACACCGACCCATGCAGCTCAGACATTCGGTCAGACGGAACGCCGCTTCTCAGATGCAGGCCGTCCACTGGTGAATCAAGGAGAGCAAAAAGGGAAGGGTAGGCGGTTAGGCAAGAAGAATGCGCAGGTGCGGAGGCCCACACTCACGGCTTCTCTACCAGCACACTGACCCATGCAGCTCAGACATACAGTAACAGGGAACGCCGCTTCTCAGATGCAGGCTGTCCACTGTGAGGTGAGAAAAGGGAGGGGAGGGGAGGGGAGGGGAGTGGAGGGGAGGGGAGAGGAGCAAAGCAGATTCGGGCGAAGGGGAAGGTACCCAGCCTTACACTCCCTTCAACTCTCCCGATACATACACACACCGACCCATGCAGCTCAGATAGACAGTCAGAAGAAATGTTGCTTCTCAAATGAAGGCCGTCCACTGCTGAAACAAGGGAAGCAAAAGGGGTAGGGCGGGTGGTTAGGCAAGAAGCATGCGCAGGTACCGTCGTACCGTGCACCAACCCATGCAGCTCGGACGGTACCGTCATACCGACTGATAGACAGTCAGACGAAATGCCGCTTCCCAAATGAAGGCCGCCCTCTGGCAGATGGGGGAGAGAGGAGGGGAGAAGAGGAGAGCAGAGCAAGGGGCAGCGGAGGAAGGTACCCCGTCACACTCTCCTGGCATTTTTCCAGATACACACACCAACCCAGGTAGCTCGGATAAATGGTGTGATGCAAGCCCTGCCTGCATCATCAACCTACCACTGAAACCACACCCCCACTCTGTCACCACGTACCCAGCATTCTGTGGATGCGATGTGAAGACTGAATTAAGTCAACTCACCGTTTTGTGTAACCACGTGTGCCACTATCCCCGCCCGCACCAATGCTGCCACCGCCATGTGCCCCTCCGTGGGTGAAGCTTCCTCGTACCTTCTCCCCATGGCTGCCGCAGCTTCCTCCCACCTTCCCTCCCCCTGCAGCGTCCAAACCCCTTTGGGCCCTCTGAAATCCGGAATGCCTGCTGCTGTGCTCAAACCTGCGCCCGTATGGATCACTAACCCCCCCATAACTCTAGAAGGAGTTAGCGTTGACGCTGTTACTGTACATCCTGTGACTCTAGATAGCTGTACTGTAGATACAGCATCCTTGTCCCTTTTAAGGAGGTGATCTGAAGCACTGCGGTTTGCAACAGTTTCGTGTGCACCATTTGCGATAGCTGGAGCTCTCCCGCACTCCAGAATGAGCCGCAGCAGCTGCTGAATCTTCGCCTCCACTTGCTCTGGTGGGTCCTCCTTCTGTAAACGACGGGCAGGAAGGAAAAAACAAATTATCCTCCACTCTCCTCCAATAGCTAAGCAGGGTGAGTTGGGGGGAGGGCGGGACCAGGAGGAGGGAGCCAACGGCTGCTAAGTCTTATCCTCCTCTTACCCTGGCAGGTCCGTCGATTGGAGATGTGGGGAAGACATGGGGGGAAAGGCATGGGAAGTGCATTCTAAGTGTTTTACTTACAGCCTCGCATGAATTCTCCACACCCTCACCATCACAAGAGACACCGCATAACAGGCACACGGTAACAACCCTATCCCCCCCCCACCCCTGTTACCCGGATAATAACAAAATCTGGAAGAACGAAACAGAACAAAGAATAATATGAGCGCTGACTGACCTCTGTGTGACTGCACCACGTGCTCCACTATCCCACTCAACTGACCTCTTGCAGCCGCTCTTTCTTCTGCTGCTGCCGTTCTTTCGACTTCTCCAGTGATTGAGATATCTGCAAGCGAGAAAAAAATGAACCAATGAGCAATGGCGTGCACGTGACACCTGGCGAAGTACACGACACATTGCGTGTGACACGTGGCACGAGGCATGTGCAACGTGGAAAGGGCTAGAAAAAAACTGAAGATGCTCGTCCATGGAGAGAGGTGACACCCCATGCCACGGCATGGCATGCCATGGGATGCCATGGGATGCCATGGGATGCCGTGGGATGCCATGGGATGCCATGGGATGTCAAGGAATGTGATTGGATGCAACGGGTCTAGGATGTCAAGGGATGCAGTGCAGTAAGGGAGTGAGTTATACGAGAGGTCACGAGATGGAGGGAGATGGAGGGAGATGGAGGGAGATGGAGGGAGATGGAGGGAGATGGTGGGAGATGGCGAGAGATGGAGGGAGATGGTGGGAGATGATGCCACGAGAGCAGCTCACCTCACGGGCAATCCGAGCGTTGCTTTCCAGCAGTCGACACTCCTCCCCGCTTCTCGCGCTCTCCGCTTTGATCAGCGCCGCGCGAACCGCCTTCCGCACTCGCCGCTCCTCCGCCTCCGCTAAGGACTTCGCCGCCCATTCCCGCTTCCGCTTCTCGCGCTCGCTCTCCATGGGCAGTTAATCGTTGCCCGAATCAAAGGCCACCTCGGAACTCGCAGTCGCTCCCCGCGGATGGGATTGCTTTTGAGGCGCCTCAAAACTCCCCGCGGATGGGATGGCGGCTTTCGATCAAATCAGACAGAAGAGGAGCAAACGGCATTTGCCCTAAATTATGAAGAGGGTTTCTTAGGAAGTGCGGGATACACAATGACACTAACAGCAGAGGAACCCCAACCTCCTAAGTTGAAGCAAGTTGAAGCGAGTTTGTACGTGGCGCGAACCCCAACCTCCTACTAAGATGCTAATGTCAGGTGGGGATGGGTAATGGGCACGGGACATCGGGTTCGTCATTTCGAAAACGATTCGAACTTTGAGAGGGTCACTGTTTTCGCACACATCGGACGCATTTTTCGGGTGTCGCCAAAATCTCTCGCCACAATTCATAACGGACTCGGAACATGCAGCACGATTTTTCCCAGCAGAACGGCATTTCCGCCACGTTCGAACTGTGCGAAATGAGTGTACAGTTACCATTTGCCAGAAGGATAGACCTGAGTCTTCGAAGACCCGTTCAAAGAACCACTTTGAGCCCACAGACTGGCCGTTCTGTTTCAACGGCTAATCCAAGTACACCCAGTCTGCAAACGATGGGACGAAGTTCGTGAGCACTTCGTCGTTACAGCATGGTGGAGAGGTGTCTAAATCGTACCGTCAGCGAAGGAAAGTTGTGCTCTTTGCGAACAAATGTTGAGGCTACGAGCGTGACGGTAGCGAAGTTGTGAGTTCTGTTACTGTACGAGAGATCGATCAACCAATCGCAACCCTTGGCGTGCATCTCACGCACCTCGATTTTGGTTTGCGTGATTGCGTGATGCCCTACAGCCGAGGACAGCCATGGCGCGACGAAACCGAGAGTTTCGGAACTAGTAGCATCTCGAAACGTCGGCACCGCCCTGAACGGTCAGGTGAGGAGGAAAGGAGCTTCACAGCAGGTGCGGCTCTAGTGGCTTCCGTGTTACCCAGGAAGTTTCAGAAACTCGACTGTTGCGAATCAGGCGGGGCATAGTTGGCATCTAGCAGTGTGTGTTGAAGATGCATTTAGTTCTATGTGTACCTTGGATCTCATGCTGGATCGGAGGCTTCAGCTCAGCTGGGCTTTCATTCCAGTCCCCAAGCCAACTTGGCTTCAGGAGGTTGAACCTGAAGCACGTTCGCGGGAGCAGTAGATCGCGTTGCCATGGAAGCACCCCTGGGCTGCGGGACGCCTCACCCCGAAAGGCAGATGCTCCCAGCAGACAGCGAGGAACCGCCGGCCGTGGAGTCGACTCAAAAGTCGCCTCACCCCGAGAGGCAGACGCTCCCAGCAGAGAGCGAGGAACCGAGGAGGCTTCCGGCACGACACCAGGAGGCTGCATCGGGCCCACTTTCTCTGGAAAGCCGTCCGGATTTTCCGCTACGACTATCCTCTGACTGCCCCGCCTTGCCTCCTGACTGTGTGGACCTTATTTTCCGCCGCTTTCACCGTCCGGAGGATGTTATCCGAGCCGCTCTCACCTGCAAGGCATGGATGACGTCATCGAGCCGCGCCGCCTCCTCCCTCTCCCTCCTCTTCAACCCTTTCCTGCTCCGTTGGGAGCCTTGCTTCCACGAAACTTCGCGCTGCTCCTTCATGCGGCCGTGGGAGCCCGCCAGCGGTTTCTGCGCCGCCAGATGGATATTGGACGATCTAGATTTCGCCACAGTCCCTTGGGATTGCCGACCGTTGGATCTAACGCCCCCTTCTCCAGCGCCTGCTCAAACTCGCGGCCCAGATTCAGTCTCGGATTTTCGGGATCTTCGAAAAGCCATTCCTCTGAATTATGAAACGCCTCAGAACGCACCGTTGGTGCCTGGTCCGGTCTATTCAGCCTCGGAATTCCTAGACCCCCTACCATCCGCTCTCCAGCTGCTCCCCTGGCGACCGGAGCAACTCACCGGTCTCCTGAAGTCCTTCCCCCGCATCGCCACCCTTCAGATCCCCCTCTCCGCCTCCCACACCACTGAAGCTGACATCACCTCCCTGCTGACGGACATAGGCGCCTCTCTCCCGGGGCTTCGCGCCCTGTACCTTCAGATGGACTGCGTGCCGGCAGGGGGTGCGCTGAGCCTCAGCGCACGGCGCTCGGAAGTGGTGCATCCGTACTTCCAGCAGCGGAATTTGCGGCAGGGGTTGACGCGCCTCTTCCATTGTTGCCCTCTGCTGCAGTCTCTGCATTTCCAGGGGTCTGACTCCGCTCTGCTGCTTCAAGATGCTAATGCTGATGCGGATGCTGCTAATTCTGCTGCCGCTGCTGCTGATGCTGATGGCTCTTCAGGGTGCTCTGCAATGCACCAGCTCGCGCATCACTTCTCTCGTCTCACCGACCTCTCCCTCCCTGTCGCCACCCTCCCCCCCTCCTTCCCCCCCCACCTCACACGCCTCACCTCCCTCTCTCTCGCCATCTTCGACTGGCCCTGCCCCTCCCTCTCCCACTCCTCCTCTCCCTTCGAATCCCTCCTCTCCCTCACCTCCCTCCGCCTGCAAATCGGCCACATCCGAGCAGGAGATTACTCATTCTACTCCCTCTCCCCCCTCCTATTTTCTGGGCTCGAACCCTCCCTCAGATCCCTCTCCTTCCTCCTACACGGCCGGTCCCCTCCCATCCCATCCCTCTGGGATCTCACCCTCCTCTCCTCCCTCCACCTCCACCTCCCCACTGACCGAACCAACCAAGGCCACGAGCCATGGGGACCAGGGAGTTCCCAAGGGCTCTCCTCCTTGCGCCACCTGGCGTCGCTCGAGTGGTTGTCGTATTGTGAGACGGTGCCGCCTGGGGTGGTGGCGCTGGGCGGCAGCCTGACCAGGCTGCACCTGCCCTGGGGGAGGTTTGACCCAGGGAAGGTGTTATCTAGGCTGCCTAGGCTGAGAGAGCTGGCGGTTCGCAGCAGAGCGCTGATTGCTGAGAGGGATGACGTGGATGATGAGGGGGACGGGAGCCAAAACAGCAGCAGCAGCCGCTGGAACAGTAGCAGCAGCAGCAGGGCAATCGGGCTCTCTCCTTCCCTCCTAAGGCTTGAGGTGCAAGACAGTGGCCAGCCCCTGCCCTTGCACACCATGTCCTCCCCCACCCTCCTCTCCCTCAAACTCTCTGGAGTCTCCCTAGCTGCTGAAGTCCCCCCCTCTGCCTGCCTCTTTCCGAACCTGAGGTACCTGGAGCTGAGGGGTGCCTACGGCAGGCTCGGGTTCGGCCCGAGGCAGTGCCTGGGCCGGCTGCCGAGCCTAACGCACTTCGTTGGGAGCGCGAGGAGGAACCACAACAAGCTGCTGCTACAGTGCCCGAACCTCCGGTTCCTATCCTTGTCCGAACCTCCGGCTGCCGTCCCCCTGGTTACGTTACCACAGCTGAAAACCCTGGTGGTGTGCGGGTGGGCAGGCAACGGAGTGCTGCTGTCGCAGCTCTCATCATTCCAATCGCTGCATGCGCTGCGACTAACTGGGCTCACAGAGGCACCTGAGGAGGGGGGGAATTCTGCTGGGGATGTTACGTGCCCTCCCACGCTGAAGCTGGTGCAGATATGTGCGTCCAAGGCAGAGGGATTGCCTGATGGGGTTCGCAACCTGACCAGCGTTGTTCGGCTGGATCTGCTGAGCTGCGCAAGTCTGGCCGAGTGGCCGCAGTGGATTGCGCAGCTCCCGTGTCTGGAGCGGTTGAGAGTTGTGGGATGTGGCCAGCTCCCTGCACCACCGAAGGAGCTTTCGTCCATGGTCCGGGTTTCATGAATGGATGAAGCGTAATATCAACTCCAGAGCTGGGTGTATCTCTCAGCTCGTGTGGTTAGAGCGCATGAGAGTTGTGGGATGTGCTGCGGCTCCAGTTCCACTGGATGAGCTTTTTTCATCGCCTGTGTTGGAGGAAGCAAGCACCTGTAAGTCACCCAGACTACCAGTATCCTGTCTCTGGAGAGCATGCGAGTTGTGGGATGTGGACAGCTTCTTTACCCTCCATCTGAGCTTTCTATTGGGCTGTGCCAGTAACCCCACTGCATACTGTACATGAGCATTGGTCACCTTTACGAACTGCCCAGGTGCGTACCGTACTTGACCTGGCACAACCCGCGTACAGTTACAACAGAAGAGGACAGAAGCATGAACCTGGTAACATCAATGAATGGATCAGCTGTTCTGCAGGAACAGGTCAAAAGAAAGGCACACTAGGCAGCAATATCGGTGCTGTTGGCTTCAGCATACGGTATTAACCATGCTTCCAACCAGAGACTGAAAGAGTTGTGCTGTATGCCCAGTGGGGAGAAGAGTTCTGCTCCCAGCACTGAGTGTGCTATTGAACACAACACAAGGGGCGGCATACACAGCATGCAGCAACCACCTCGTTTCCACCTAACAAGCTACATCAATCTCGAACCAAAGGCTGTAGGCTGTTTCAGACCGAGGGGGTCATCTGCTCTGCTTCTGTCCGTAGGGCGGAGAAGAGCACCGACGACAGATAGCGCTCGCCAAAGCTGGGCAGCACTACCTGAGGGAAAGGGGCAGGGGTGGGATGATAGATGGAGTGAGAAACTAGGGTAGCACGGAGGACAGGTAGCTCTCGTCAAAGCTGGGCAGCACCACCTGGAACGAGGGAGAAGAATGAGGACGAGGGGGGGAAGATGAAGGATGAGAAATGGAGTGAAACGCGGCGACGAGCGTTCAGGAGAGCGAGCACTCTGCACTGCACACTTCGCAGAAAGAGGGGGATGCAAAGCGAGCGGAAAATCGGCACGAGGAAATGAGGCGCACAGAGAGGAGAGAGTGATGGCCAAAGCTGGGCAGTCAACAGCTCAACAGGACAAGGTTGCCAGTCTGCTCGGGTCGAACCTCACCTGACGTTTTATCGTACTTGAAGAAAAGCGGACAGCAGACAGCAGGCAGCAGGCACTCACCACCACCAGCTTGCCGGCATTCTCAGGCCGCTTTGCCACTTGAAGCGCTGCAACCACCGCTGCACCGGACGAGATGCCCACCTGGGACAAACAAAGAGAGGGGATGAGGCGAGGGGGGATGAGGCGAGGGGGGATGAGGAGAAGGGGGATGAGGAGAGGGGGGATGAGGAGAGGGCGGATGAGGAGAGGGGGGATGAGGAGAGGGGGGATGAGGAGAGGGGGGATGAGGAGAGGGGTAGGAGAAAGGACGCCCACCACTGCTGCACCTGACGAGATGCCCACCTGGTTGATTTAGAGGGGAGGCATAGCAAGAGCGTAGAGGGAGAGAAAGAGAGAAAGGACCACTTAAGAAAGGGGAATAATACAGAAAAATAGGCACAGCCATCGCGACCCAATGAGAGGCCCGTGTGTTGGCATTTAAGGAGAGGGAGGGAGGAGTTAGCGATAGGCAGCGGTTTTCGAGAAAGAGGAAAACGGGCGGGAGGAGGGGAGGTGGGGGGTTGGAGGGAGGGGGAGGGAGGAGGATGTGGCGGGAGGGAATGGGGAGGAGGTGGGGGAGGGAGGGGGAGAGGGCGAAATGGGGGGTGGGAAGGAATGAGGTGGGAAAGGAAGGGGGAGAGGAGGGAGGGGGAAGAGCGAAGGGGAGGAAGGGGGAGGGGGGGAAGAAGGGCGGAGCCAGGGGGGGAAGGGAGAGATGGGGTTGGGAGAGTGGGGGGAGGGAGGGAGAGAGAAGGTGGAATGGTGGGTGGTGGAGAGAGAGAGGGCATACCAGGAGGCCCTCCTTGACAGCAAGGTCCTTTGCCATGGCCACGGAATCATCACTGCTCACCTGGACAACGGAGGCATGGGAAGAAGAGAGAGGGGAAGAAAGAGCGTACGGATGAGGTGGAAAGAGGAAAGCCAAGGCACAAGATTGGGCATGCCACTTCGACAGCACGGTCCTTTGCCATGGCCACGGAGTCATCGCTGCTCACCTGCAGAGAGAGAGACGTGAGGAGAGGGAGAGAGGAAGAGGAGGGCACAGAATTATGCAGCATCTCAGATGCACGCCAGTTCCACAGCTAGGTCCTTTGCCATGGCCACGGAGTCATCACTGCTCACCTGCAGAGAGAAAGACGTGAGAAGAGGAAAGCACGGGAGGGGGGGGAACAGATGGGAGGGAAAGGCATGTGTGGGAGGCGAAAAGAGTGAGGGAACGAGTGAAGAGGAATGTGAGATGCGAGGGTCTGACAGCACAAAACGCGGATGGAGAAAGCATATAAAAATAACGGCAACGGAAGATACTGGAGGGAGCATCTTTGACGCGAAAGGTGCTCACGCCGAATAGAATGTCCAAGCCGGATGGATGAACGTTCTAACCGTGGTTGCGTATGTAAGTGTGAGCATGAGGGTGCGGGCAGGGCAGGGCACGTACCGGAATGACCTCGTCCAGAAGCCCCACGTCTAGGATGCCCGGCACAAAGCCAGCTCCAATGCCCTGGATCTTGTGCGGGCCTGAACAAGGGGACAAGGGGATTTGAATGTAAGCGTGAGCATGAATGGATGCATGCATGCCCGTGCGCATGGTGTGCATGCACGTGCGCACGGTGTGCATGCACGTGCGCACGGTGTGCATGCACGTGCGCACGGTGTGCATGCACATGCGCATGGTGTGCATGCACGAGTGCACAGTGTGTATGCACGTGGGCACGGTGTGCATGCACGAGTGCACGGTGTGCATGGATGCACGTGTGCACGGTGTGCATGCATGTACGAGTGCACGGTGTGCATGCACGTGTGCACGGTGTGCATCTGAGCCCCACATCCTGAATGCCAGGCACCAAGCTGGCCCCAATGGTCTGGATCTTGTGCGGACCCGAGGCAACGGGATGGGCAAGGGGGGCGAAGACCACATAGATGCAGGCACATGCGCATGTGTGGGTCAGGCAGAAAAGGCAATGAACAGCAGTGTGGGTTACACTGTGCATGAACACTGCACAAAGCGGTGCCTGAATGTTGGATCGGCCCAGACCTGCCGCTTCCCATACCTGCCTCCGCCCATTCCTGCCTCACCCCGTACCTGCCTCACCCCGTACCTGCCTCACCCCGTACCTGCCTCGCCCCGTACCTGCCTCGGCCCACACCTGCCTCACCCCGTACCTGGCTTGCCGCCAGAAAGAATGGCGCTCTCCTTGGGCTCCACGCCAATGATCTGCAAACGTGGAGGGAGGAGGAAAACAAGAGGGAAGACGTTAAGAGGGAATTGAGGGAAAGCATGTAGGGTGGGAGAAGGTGGGCGCCAGACAGAATGGCGCCCTCCTTGGGCTCCACGCCAATGATCTGCAAACGTGGAAGGGGTAGACGTCAGGGGGGTCGGGGGCATTGGGGTGGGGGTGATGGGGAAAGGTGGCTTTTGAGGCCCTCAAAAGCATTGGGGTGGGGGTGATGGGGAAAGGTGGCTTTTGAGGCCCTCAAAAGCATTGGGGTGGGGGTGATGGGGAAAGGTGGCTTTTGAGGCCCTCAAAAGCATTGGGGTGGGGACGATGGGGAAAGGTGGCTTTTGAGGCCCTCAAAAGCATTGGGGTGGGGACGATGGGGAAAGGTGGCTTTTGAGGCCCTCAAAAGCATTGGGGTGGGGGCGATGGGGGAAGGTGGCAGGTGAGGGAAATGAAAGTGATTATCAAAATGGCGTTCTCCTTGCGAATGTTGAGGCGGGGGGGTGGGGGGGAGAGGGGGGGGAGGGGGGGGGTGGATGGGATGGGGGACAGAGGCGGGTTGGTAAGAAGGGTTTGGAAACAGTCTGGAGATGCGAGACTGGCAGAGGGGAGGAAGGGACGCACTGAAAAATGGGAAGACAGAAACCAGAGAATTTCATCGAGACGGGCTCACTGAGACGGGCTCTTAATCAAATGCAAGCCATTGGTGAAAGACAGACAGTTAGGCTCCATGCTTCACAGCCGCACCCACCTTGACTCCCTGCATCTTGCAGCGCAGGTAGCGCCCCACACCATTGACCGTGCCACCCATGCCTATCCCTGTGACCATGCACTCACATCACTGCATCCCTGCATCCCTGCAACGCTGCATCCATGCATCATAACACCCCTGAACCCCTTCCCACCCACCTTGACCCCTGGCTTCCTGGAGAGCATATAGCGTCCCACACCATTGACTGGCAGCGCCGCCCGTGCCTATCACTGTGACCATGCACTCACATCACTGCATCAATCCATCCCTGCATGCCTTCTCACCTTGACACCGGGCTTCTTGCTACGCAGGTAGCGCCCCACACCAGTGACAGTGCCGCCCGTGCCAATCCCCGATATAAGAATGTCCACCTGCCCGTTTGTGTCCTCCCAGATCTCCGGCCCCGTTGTCTCAAAGTGCACCTGCAACAAGCAGCAAAACAAAGGTCGTACGCAGGGCCTGATGTATGTCCACGCATGCATGCCTGCCCGTTAGCGCCCTCCCAGATCTCAGGGCCCAGACGTCTCAGACTGAAAAAAGGATGTGATATGAACTCTACCTTGGGGTTAGCAGGATTCTCAAACTGCTGCAGCATGTACGCGTTCTTGGTGCTCTGCACAATATCCTCCGCCTTAGCCACAGCGCCCTTCATGCCCTTGGCGGGGTCCGTCAACATCAGATCCGCCCCAAACGCCTTCACCACAATACCCTCAACGGCGTTGAGCAGCACATCCCCTAACGACTGGAGGGGAGCAGAATGCCCCCGTTATAAGCTCACCTTTACCTTAGGATTAGCGGGGTTCTCAAACTGCTGCAGCATGTACGCGTTCTTGGTGCTCGGTACAATCTCCTCCGCCTTAGCCACAGCGCCCTTCATGCCCTTGGCAGGGTCCGTCAACACCAGATCCACCCCAAACGCCTTCACCACAATACCCTCAACGGCTTTGAGCAGCACATCCCCTTACGACTGGAGGTGGGCAGAATGCCCCCGTTATAAGCTCACCCTTACCTTGGGATTAGCGGGGTTCTCAAACTGCTGCAGCATGTACGCGTTCTTGGTGCTCCCCACAATCTCCTCCGCCTTGGCCACGGCGCCCTTCATGCCCTTGGCCGGGTCCGTCAGCACCAGGTCCGCCCCGAAGGCTTTGAGCAGCACGCGGCGCTCGAGGCTCATGGAGGCGGGCATGGTGAGGACGAGCTTGTAGCCCCTCGCCGCTGCTATGAACGCCAACCCGATGCCCGTGTTGCCCGAGGTCGGCTCCACCAGCACGCTCTGCGAGGAGGGACAAGGGAACAAGGTGACAGAAGGCATTGCTAATACCCATGTTGCCTGAGGTCGGCTCCATCGGCCACGCTCTGGGGGGAGGGAGTGAAGGGATAGGGGAGCAGGGAAACAAGGGGAGCAGGGAAACAAGGGGAGCAGGGAAACAAGGGGAGCAGGGAAACAAGGGGAGCAGGGAAACAAGGGGAGCAGGGAAACAAGGGGAGCAGGGAAACAAGGGGACAGTCTTCCGCGAAACCGATGCCCGTGTTGCGCTGGTTTACCCCGTGGTTCTCCGCCAGCACGCTCTGATTGATGGGTGGGAGGAAGCGGTGTGTCAACGATTAGAAACAAAGAAGAAACTTCAGGAACCTCCAACCATTAGAACTTAGAAAAGGACAAACTTTGCAACGTACCTTGCCAGGCGCGATGACACCTCTTTCCTCAGCGTCGTTGATCATGCTGTATGCGATCCTGACAAGGGGTGGGAGAGCGGAAGGAGGAAGGAAGGGAGATGGTAACATTTGAGAATTCAGAAATGGTGACCAAAATCGCGTAGACGCAAAACTTCTGGTGTACCACAACGCAGTTTGGGAAGGACATAACTTCCCTGCAGCATGGGTCCATGATTTTAGCCCGAAACGAGACACCTTTCAGTGCGTATGAGCCTCGCATCCGTCCTTCACGCTGCAACACATCACGGATCCATAATTTCGAGCTAAACACGCGACGGCTCTAAAAGGGACACCTTTCACACTGCCCTATCACACCTAGGTGTGCTATCACACCTGCCCTCCACACTGCAGCACGGCTCTATGCTTTCAAACCAGTAACGCAACAGTTCTTATTGAGACGCCTTTTACTGTACATGAACCTCGCACCTGTCCTTGACGCTGCAGCACGGCTCCATGATTTCGAGCTTCCCTGCGATTGTCGCGACGGCGCCGTCGACCACCTTGTTGAGGTACACCATGGGGGTGCTGCCGATCAGCTGGGGGGGGCGAAAGGGGGAAGTAGAGAGGAGGCACAGGACAGCGGTATACAGATGAGGCGCCGTCGACCACCTTAATGAGGTACACCATAGGAGTGCTGCCGATGAGCTGGTGGGTCGGTCATGAGGGAAACGAGAGCGAACAACACGAAGCACGGGGAGTAAATGGGTTACAGGTGAGGCGCTGTCGATGACCATGGAAAAAGCACGATGAAACGAGAATGCGTGAAGGCACAACCAGGAACATTTCAAGCATAAATTCTTGAAAAAAGAAAAATAAAATAAACGACATAAGGAAGAAATTCCAGAGAGAAGCCATGCGAATCATTCAGTGGCGACGACTTTTCAGGGTTGGGAGTGGTAACCTGTGTAACATCCTCGGCGATGTTCAGCGGCTGTGTCGCAGCCTCCGTTTCAACCGCTTGAGCGTTCGCTGACACGTCGTTCCTTCGCTGCCGAGCAGAAGCCTCGCATCTGACACCCGTGCCGCGAAACGTGGTTACCACACACGGCTTCGCCTGAGCGAGTGAAACGCGGGACTTGACGAATGAGCTCTTTGATTCGACGGCCTTCACGCCTGATGCTGGCGTGAGGTAGCGAGAGGAGAGTGACGCGGCCATGGATACTGACGAGCAGTCGAATGTGCGAAAAAATACGGGTGGGAACCTAGAAGGTTCACCCGATCCGAATAAGCTCGCTGGAGAAGACAGGCCGAAACAACGAGATCAAAGAAAAATATCAACGCTATCTTTCGAGATTGATCTCGTGGTATCGCGACGCAGTATGGTGTGAATTGCACCCTCGAGCTGGAATGCCGCGAATTACCAAGTTCACTGATCTTTCCAGGGAGCCATGGCGAGGAGGACAGGCGGATGGATGAGCAGAAGGGGTGACGTGAACAGCAGCTCCACCAATGTCTGAAGGTTGAGGCGAAACGGCTAATCTGGACAATGTCCCAAATGCACTGCATCTATTCAGAGTGTACTGGCTATGGTATTATATAATATTTACAGATATCTTATTATAATATTTCAATCTCCTTTATACATGAATGAAGCTATACCCAATGTTATCATTTCACAAAAAAAGATATAACCTCCACGTGTCCAATATCGATCCCAACCAAAATAACGACACAAATGCCGTACAGAATTAATCAGGAGCTACAGGGGCATAATGGATGCAATGCAACATCCTCCTATGACACAAGAATATGCGTGCACTGTACAGGTCCCATGCATCACATTTGTGCTCTCCTTCGAAACTCAGTCCTCTTTGTCCACTAGCAGAGCATCGGCCAGGGCAACGAGCGCAAGCACAAGAGCCATGTCAACGTTCGGCATGATGCGAATGAAGTATGTCTTGTTAACGTAGAAACGAATGATTACTAGAGGTGGAAACCTAGAACAAATACTAGTTGGTTGTACTCACTAGAAGCATACCTCAGTCTAGCCTATAACTTCTACATAGATAATATGTATAAGTTGACACACCCCCTAGGCTAGACAAGGGGTGAAACTAAACAAGAAGCAAACAGCTCAGGGCGGCACTACTAGTCCAACCACTGAGGCAGGGGTCTGGAGACCAGTCAGCAAGAATACAACCAAAACTGAAGCAAGCCAGGGTGGCACTACTAGTCCAGCCACTGGAGGTAAGGCCACAAGGCCAGTCTGACAAGCATATATAATAGAGAGTACACAATCAGGATCCTAACAGGGGAGCAGCTATAGGAACAAGACCAAGCTGTACACAGTGCCGCTGATGATCTTTAGGCGCAAGCGCCTTAGTAAAGATATCAGCTGTGTTGGCACCTGAGGCCAAGTGAACTACGCGGGCCTGGCGGCGCTGCTGTAGCTCGCGCAGGAGGAAGTACCGCAGCTGGATATGCTTCGCTCTGCCCTCAAGCCGAGGCTCCTGACACAGGAGTATCATGGCCCTGTTGTCAGCGTACAGGACCGGGGCAGAGCTAGGCCGCTCACCTAAGTCTGTGAGCAAGAAGGTCAGCCAGCGGAGCTCCTGTGCCGCCATGGCACCAGCGTAGAACTCAGCCTCACAGCTAGACTGAGCCACAGACGACGAGCGAGTGGATCTCCAAGAGATAGCACCCGAACCAAGGCTGAAACAGTAGCCCTGCGACGACCTGAGCGTCTCAGCGTCGTCTGCCCAAGAAGCGTCTGTGTGCCCAGTAAGGACCACTGGCCTGCGTCCTCCTAGCACTAACCCCATGCCTGATGTACTAGCAAGATAACGCAAAACCCTCTTAGCGGCAGACCAGTGCTGAGGTCGGTGTCTGCCTGTAGCCACAAAGCGAGCCAGGATGCTGAGAGGGTATGCAAGATCTGGGCGAGTGCAAGTCATCAGGTACATGAGGCAACCCACCAGCTCTGCGTAGGGGCCACTGGGCTCTACTGGCTCCTCAGGAACGGGAGCAGAGAGCCCATGGTCTACGGGTAGAGGTGTGGGCTGTGCGGAGGAGAACTGAAGACCGAACCTCTGAAGGACCTGACGCACCAAGTGTGACTGGGTCAGAGTGATGGTGCGTGCTGCTCTGTCCCTAGAGATCTGCAGGCCAAGATAGCGACGCAGCTCTCCAAGGTCAGTGCAGGTGTGTCTCTTCAGCAGCTCAGCCTTCACAGAGGCCAGTGCGTCCCTGTCAGGAGTAGCGAAGACCAGGTCGTCTACGTAGACAAGGATGTAGAACGGAGTCTGGCCGGAACGCACAAACAGTGAAGGGTCAGCAGAGGACGGAAAGAACTGCAGGTCTGCTAACGTGGCACGTAGCGTGTCGTGCCACTCGCGGGGAGCCTGACGCAGGCCGTAGACCGGGCGCCTGAGAAGCCACTGGGTCCCAGGAGGGAAGGTACCAGTGAAGCCCTGTGGTCGGCGCAGGTAGACCTGCTCGTGTAGGCTGCCCTGAAGAAAGGCAGTAGAGAAGTCGAGGGAGTGAAGCTCGTAGTCACGCTGTGCTGCTACGTGTAGCAGCGCCCGAAGAGTGGTCATCTTCGGGGTCGGGGCGAAGGTCTGGAAGAAGTCAACCCCCTCGCGCTGACTGAAACCTCTGGCCACGTAGCGCGCCTTGAAGACAGGCGGCTCTCCAGGGGGGCGCTTCACCTTGAAGAGCCACCGACCATCGACTACGTTCACCCCAGGCGGGGGAACTGCGTCGACGTAAGTGCCGGTGGATCTCCAAGATGCCATCTCCTGCTCCATGGCAGCTATCCACTGAGAGGCCCAAGGTCCCGAGGTGGCCTCAGCGTAGGTGCGAGGGGTCGGGATGTCGAAGGCGTCTGGGTCACCCTCAGGGACTAACAGCATGGAGCAGAGATGGGGAGCAGCCTCGGAAAGGAAAGCCAGCTCGTACTGCCTGTCCTCTAGGACGTCACTGCCAAGGGCAGGAGCACCCCCGACGGACAGAGGACGGGCAGGGTCAGAGACCAGAGCGGTAGCGTAGTCAAGGCGGCGGGTAGAAGCGAAGTCAGCGACAGCAGCGACAAGCGCGTCAAGGCGCGAGACAGGAACAGCAGGGTCGGTAACAAGAGAGGCAAGGACCCGAGGGACAAGGGGACGAGCAGCACGGAGGTAGTCAGAGAACGGAGGAGGTGCAACAGTAAGGGACGAGGGAGGAGGGGACGGGAGGAGGGGAGGACGAGACGAGTGGGAACGGAGCAACATAGGGTGGGTGGGCAGGACAGGAGAGACGGGACGAGCACGGGAGGGACGGCGAGCCCAAACGTGAGACGGAGGGGTAGGGTCAGGGGACAGCGGAGGAGACACAGGAGGGGAACGAGGAGGAAGACGGGCCGGAGACGAGTCTGGCGGCGGGAACACAGGACCGTAGACAGGGAGGTCAGGAGGCGGTGGGGGAGACACCGGCGCGCGGTCCGGGGAGGGAAGGCCGAGCAGGCGGAGAGCGGAAACCGGCGGCGACGGCTGCTGCGGCGGCGACGACGGCTGGGCCGGAACTCTCGGACCAGCAGAGGCAGAACGACCGTCGGCAGAACACTCAACAGCAGCACCCCCAGAACCAACACCCCCAGAGCGAGAACCCCCTCCAACACCAGCGGCACCCCCAGAAGCCGCAGGACGAACACCCTCCTCCACACCAGCACCCCCAGGGGCCGAGAGCAGCGGCGGCAGTGGCGGCAACGGCTGCGGCGGCGGCGACAGCGGCGACGGCTGCGGCAGCGACAGCGGCGGCGGCGGCGACGACAGCGGCGACGGCTGCGGCGGCGACGGCGACGGCGGCGGCAGCGGGGTCGGCGACTGCGACAGTGGGGGCGGAGGCACCGGGGAAGGGGGACGCGGCAAGGACGGACCGGGGGTACCACCAGAGTCAGCAGACTCCTCAACGGGGACAACCGACGGGAGGGGAGTGACGTGGGAGACACCAGACGGGGCAGGACGAGGCGGGAGAGGGGCAGGGGCTACCGGGGGAGAGGGAGCAAGGAAAGGGGGGGGGGCAACTGGGAGACCTCGGTGAGGGAAGCGGCGGTAGAAGGAGACGGACTCATCAAAGGTGACGTCACGAGAGTGGAGGAAGCGGTGAGACGGCGGGTGGTAGAAAAGCCAGTCAGACGAGTCCAGGGGGAAACCGAGGAAGACACAGGGGACAGTGCGGGCAGTGAGCTTGTCCGTGCCAGAGGCACGAACGTGAGCAAGGCAGCCCCAGACGTGGAACGCAGACGCGTCACCGGGGGACCCGGTCCAAAGGAGGGTCGGCGAAACCTGCGGCCGCTGGGAGCGTGGCCACAGGTTAAGCTGGTGAGCCGCGTAGCGAACAGCGAACGGCCACAGAAAATGGGGGGCATCGGCATGGATCATGGAGGTACGGGCGACCTCCATGACCAAGCCGATGCGGTGCTCAGCAACCCCATTCTGTTGTGGCGAGTCCGGCAACGTGTACGACTGGGTGATGCCCTCCGCACGACAGAACTGTCCAAGCCGACCAGAGGCGAACTCGCCGCCACGGTCGGAGTGGAGACACAACACGGGGAGACCGCGGTGGAGACGCGCAGCCACAACCCACGGGAGAAGAACGTCGGGCACGTCGGCCTTCCGCTCCAGGGGAAACACCGTGGTGTAGCGCGTGTAGTCGTCGACAAGCACAAGGAAGTAGCGCTCACCGCGCGGTCCGGGGACGGGGGCAGGGCCCCAAACGTCCAAGTGCAGGGTCTGAAGGGGGGCAGTAGCAGGACGCAGCGAGGAGGAGTGAGGAGCACGGCGGAGCCGACCCTCGACGCAAGGCGTGCACGGTGGCGCAGTCGAGGGAGGAAGGGCAGGGAGCGACGCGGGGAGACCTAAGACAAGACCGTGCTGGGACATGTGACGCAGACGCGGGAGAGCAGGGTGACCTAAGCGGTGGTGCCAGAGAAGGGAGGGGTGAGTGAGGGACCGACACGAGCAAGCTGCAGCGACCTGGGAGGACGCACCAACCGGGGGGGAAGCGGTGTGTAGGGTAAACAGACCGGACACCGGGTCCCGGGGGAACGTCGCAAGGGGGGAACCTGAGACAGCCTCAGAACAGACAGCGAACCGCTCGTGCCCGGGGAACGTGGTGGTGACGCCGAGGTCCTGGAGACAGCCGACACCAACCAGGTTCCTGGAGAACGAGGGAACGTGGAGGCCAGTAAGGGAGCCCGAGGGAACTGCCGGACAGGGAAGGGACGTAGAACTGCGCGCGACGACCGGACCCGCAGAGGGGTCAGCGAGAGAGACAACAGCAGGTGCAGCAAGCGGCGTGAGCGTGGAACGGTCGCGGAAGAAGCAGGCAGAAGCACCAGAGTCGAGAGTGAAGGACAGCGACGCAGTGGCGGGGGCCGGGGACGGAGCCGGTGCAGCGACTAGACTAGGCAACC